ATTGTTGTATAATGTATTATACATTGTACAATTACAGTAAATATTAATCCGTGGGTACTGGTTGCCCCTTTTTACTATGTTGTTTATCAGTGTACTGCACTGTTTACAATCTGATTAACCCAGCTCCACGCACTCAGTTAAGATCTGTTACCCAAACAATTATCAGGTATAAATCATATTCAATTGTCCAGAGAATTGTTATGCTGTATTGTTACAAATGAATTGTTCAGATCAGAGGGGTTAGGTATTATATTTTCTTATTATAGATGTAAATTATTCATCTAACATATTCTTTATAGAATTGGTAAATTGGCGAGACTGTTGCACAACCTTGGGAAGTTCTCGGGTTCTGTGCAAAAGCCTCTGTACAATAGAGGACTCACACATGTCCTCTACTTGTACATGCTAATCTCCTCCACCACCAACAACAGCGAGATAAACAACTGCAAGTAATATTATCTTGTTGTATGAACTGTGCTAAAATAAATGTTCAATAGTGTAACATGTCATTTAATTATCATCACATAGCCAAACCAAATGCACTGATAAGTTTGGCAGATCTAACTCGTCTTTTTGTATAATAACCTCTTGGTAGTTTATACTATAAACATGTCACCAGAACTCCAACCAATGGCAATGCAGCAATGCAGTATTATAATCACGTGGCTCTGTCTGTATCACATGACCAGTATACTGCACTGCCATTGAAGGAAGTTCTGATCACATGATACGGACGTGTATATCTTACATGTATACGTTTTGGTATAATTTTGACACAATTTCACGAGACATGGAACATCAGATAGATGTCACATAGGTGTCGTTCAACTCCTGAGATTCTACCATTTCTATGGTATTCAGGTTTTACACCTTTAGAAGGAGGCCTAAAATATAACAATTTACATTCTCATTTTGGATTTATGAAATTAATTATATATTCTAAGAATTGACTAGTTACCTGAAAAAAGGCCAAATGTCCACTGGACGGGATCTCAGTTTCTCTCTATTGAAGTTTGGTATTCTTTAATGCTGTCTTCCTTCTCTTTGTTGATATTCACATTTCTATCAGTAATTTCTAATCCAAATGTTATCTATAATTTATCAATAACTGTCTTATTATAGTATATGAATAAAAATCAATAAAGCAATGCACTGAGTTTCTCAAATATTCAACGAGTCGGTTTTTCTTACAATATATTTATATACAAAAGATACAAAAATACAAACTTTAAATCGAACGATACTTATACAAACTAAATATTATGAATCAAATCAGTTTCATCAAATAGGGGAATTCTTCAAGGGAACCTCAGTTTAAGGGAGCTGACGATCAACTAACTCTCCTCCTTCGATTTTGCTCCATCCTAGGATCGCATTTAACCCTAGCTACCCCGGGGTTGTTCCGCCCCCTCCCCAACGCTTGGGTCTTCAAGATAACGGAAAATTCGGCGTCGCTTGGGTTATTTATAGAATCCAAATGCAAACTCAAATAAATCCGTTAGGATTCAAAATA